GCATGTACACACACACACACACACAAAGCATATGTAAATATGCATACACAAACTTCTATTCCCATGTTAATGTTACCCACTTGATTTACAAGTTCAGGGATGCCCAGAGCTCTGTCAATTTCCTCCAAGCCTGTGGCATCTGTGTTGCTCAAGAGAGTATGCAGCTGGTCCAGCAAAGCTCTTTCATCACTCTGGCCTTCCAGGTTAGAAGGTGGCCCAAGGAGATCATCGAGGGAATTCCTAAGAACTGGCCTAAAAAGAAATTTGCAATCAATTTCAACAGTGCTTTCCCTCTTGGAAAAAAAAAAAAAAGCCATAGTAACTATGCACAATATTTTTATTGTGCAATAATAAATACTACAAGCATTAAGTAATAAACTGCGTAGCAGAGAAGTGCAAATGACATCAACTTAGAATTAAGGCGCATAATTTTAAACCTCACCAGGCAATCTTTGACCACCCAAATGTAATTACTAGGCTTCTAGGCATTTAGGACGGGGGGCACGGTGGGGAGGAGTTGTTAGCAAAGGGTGCTGCTTCAAGACCTTACAAGAATAAAAATGGTAGTAGTTATGACACTTGTAAGTTAGGGAACTCAATAAAAGAATAGAAAATAAGGATAGAAATGTTGAACTATCAATGAACTGAGCCTGGGGACCTGTCAAATGTAACTTTTTATTATACTCGGCCCACAGAGCTCACATATTTACAAATATAATACAAACCCTCTATACACCCACAGCAAGGTGCCATAGTTCTCCAACATATTAAAGAGGCATGAAGCTAGACATTTATTATCCTGTCTCAGAAAAATTCTGTGAAGAAATTATTTGTCTCTTCTGGGTATAGAAGCATTCAAGTTAAGTAGTTACACTGCTGTCTGCTCAACAGATTAATTCATTTTTTTTCTTTAATTTATTACAGAATTCCATTAGAGTTCACATTGACAGGTGGCCTCTTCTATGCAAATGTGTTATTGACCAAGATAAACAAAAATGAAATAATCCACAATCTTTCTTTTACATAACCTGAAGAGTGCTATAGTTTATTTTTACCATCATCCCTGAGATGTTTTAAATAATAAATAATTTTAGAAAACAATTATCTGATCCTTAAAAGTTAATTTTTCAGAAAACTGAGGCTTCCCCTCTGAACACCATTTATCCTGTCAAACTGGTGCTAATTTATCTCACATGTGACCACTTAATGGCCCTGATAGTTGAACAATATAGCTCTGTCTATCTCCTCCCCCTCATGTGAATGCCACTGCTTGCTGTCTTAGCCTTATGACAAAAAAATGCTTTGTCATCCTAAGATTAGGGCTGGCCAACTAACTATTAAGATATTTTTGATAGGCAACTACTGCCATGTATTCATTACAGGTTAGAAAATGTCTTAGACCAAAAGCCTCCATAAGAGTTTAAATAACCAAGACACAGAATAAATGAATACTCATGAAAGAAACATTATGCTATTATTCAAAAACCTATTACTTAAACTTCAATGATTTAAAAGAGATTTAAGTATTTTAAATTTGCTTTGCCCAAAAGAAATTTTTAATCATAAATACTAATTAGAAATGACATACCCATATTTGAGCCATAGTTTTCCTGACTATCCATCATTCTTGAATTCCCACCCAACATGGGTTGCTTTGGTAACATCGGGAAAGCACTGATATTCTTTACTGGAGGACTGGAGCCAAGAGAAACAGGGCTATCTAGAGACACCGCTCGGTTATATGGAGGACGAATAGACTGCACAGACTGCGGACTCCTCAAACCTGTTAAAACATAGATACACAGAATAAAATTTCCTTTGATGATTTAATACATAAATAATCACCCACAGAGCCTAAATACCACTCACCCAAGAATGTCTTTCTAACTAAAACAGTGTCTTCTTTTACAAAATAAACATTAAGCACAAAAGAAAAAAACCTTACATTCCAAACAAAGTAGAAATAAGAGTCTCAATGTTGGCTTAAGTATTGGGCACACTGTTCTTTAGCCTGATAAGGTCATTCATATTCTGCTGCACTTAATACTGAAAATGTAACCAATGTTTCAAACTCCTGGAGGTTCTTCCATATGTGTACTTACCAAGTGGCTTCTCTTTCTAAAATTTTATATTTAAATGTAGCCAGATAAGATGCCTCCTAATCAAACAAGGAATAAAATGCAGAATTGCCTCCTAACCTTTTTCTTTTTCCAATCTATTTTGATTGACCTGACTGTCCATTTCAGTTTAGGAAATACTGCCACTGAAAATGAATGACCGCTATTTCAGATAATTGTGGGAAGTATTCTTTTTCAGTTGCTACATATAATATATTCCTGTTGAATTGATGAATGAGGAACACACAGCTATAGGAAAGAGGCTGCCTAAAGGCAAACACCACAGAGGAAAAGTCTCCCAGAACAGTTGTGATCTGTGCTGTAGCTGCTTTTTAATCCAACTCTCAGTACCTAAGAAAGATATAATGCCCTAGTTCCTACTACTTGTCCGGAACAACCAAAGATGAGCATTTTCCTATGAATGCCATGACTACTAGCTTAGTATTAGTTAGAAATGGGAAATTTAAAGGCCAGTAAAATGTCCAAAGAGTTTTTTAAGCACATACATTATAAATTAGTGTAAGAAACTGAGAGGCAGAGTATACATTTTAAGTTATAACTGATAATTAGATTCTAGTCTTAGTGTAATAAGAGTACATACAAGTGTGCAGAGAAGTGTAAAAGGCAGCAAGAATAAAATATAGTTCTTTCTTACCCAGAGAATTAGGTCCTTGAAACATATGTTGCTTGGTTCCCATACTACCATTTGTGGATATGGAATTATTGTAGAAGTCAGAACCAGTTAGATCACCAAGAATAGCATCTAGATTATCTAAGTCTCCAGATCTCTGAAAATAAAAATTTTTTAATTCACCTGTGTAGTTATACTAGATACAAAGGTATAAACATATTGATCAGAAGAAAATAGATGACATAGGAACACCTAAAATACAATAGTTATCTGAAATGATAATGTCCAACTTAAAGGCTGGTTCATTATGACCCCTACCCCTAATCCTCTTTCTTAAAAGTAAGAACAGTTTAAACTACTGAGATAAATCCCTGGGTTTGGAGGTGCTTTTAAAGGGGCACTTTTAAACTTTACACTTCAAGGTTAATTTTCAAACTACAAGATATTTGCCAGCTAATATTAGTCAGGTTCACTTGCTCACAGAGACATCTGCCTCTACACATACCTGATGACAACAGTCTGATTAACAATAAAAACAACAAGCTGACGTTCAACAGATATTCATAGACAAGCTTTAAAAAGGGCTTTTGGTTAGTAAATTTGGAGAACACTAAGTTAAAATTAAACAGACATCCTAACAGAGTTCTCCAAGACTACTATTCTCTCCTGTTTCTTTCCACCACACCCTTAATGATGCAATCCACTCATTTCAATAATAAACACCTCCATGAAAAATTATTGGCTATTAACCAGTTATAGTCACATTTTAGAACATACACATCTGATAGTTCTAAACTGCATCATAATATACTTTACTGCAGCCCCAAAGATTAATTTCCATTAAATAAACAGAAGATATGAACATGTGTATAATATGTTCTTTCTAACACAGAAATGCAATGGTGAAGTCCAAAGAAACAAATTACCTCTTCATTGGTTTCTGTCTTAATTTTAGAGTCTTTCTCTTGACTGGAGCTGGGAACGTTGGAGCTGCTGCACTGACTCACTTTACTGTCCACGCCCTCCACTTTGGGCTGCAATTCTTTAGAGAGGGCATCACTAGGATCATCCCTGTCCAGCAGATACCTAAGAAGTGCATTGTTTTCCTTCTTCTTAGGGCTCAGTTGCTCCTGCTTGACATTTCCCTCTGCACAAGATGAAGTACTACTGGTGTCCTTCCCTGTGGCCTCTGCGGTAATCTTGGCTACTTCAGCTGGGGAGTTGCCATTCTGTAGCAACTTGTGCAAAATCCGGTGCTTCTCTTGCAGCAGTGACCCATGCACATTAGACGTGGAGGACACTCCTCCAGATGTGGAAGAAGAGACACCGGAGGGACTGGTGACACTAATGGAAGAGTCTTTACAACTTGAATCCAGAGGGGAGTTGGTCAAGGAGGAATGACCCCGGTCATCAGAAGAACAGGTAAGTAACTGCAGTAATTTTTTATGACCTTTGCTTTCCAGGGGACCCCTTTGATTCTCTGACCCTTCAACACTGCTCTCCTTATTTTCTTTGTCACTGAGGTGATCCCTGCTATTTGACTGACACATTGAAGTCTCCACTGAATTCTGGTCACAATACAAGTCAAGGGGACTTTTGGAATCCTGATTGTTCACCTTACTTGGTTGAGTTATATTTATATTGGGATTACTGCCACTGAAAATGAATGACCGCTATTTCAGATAATTGTGGGAAGTATTCTTTTTCAGTTGCTACATATAATATATTCCTGTTGAATTGATGAATGAGGAACACACAGCTATAGGAAAGAGGCTGGCTAAAGGCAAACACCACAGAGGAAAAGTCTCCCAGAACAGTTGTGATCTGTGCTGTAGCTGCTTTTTAATCCAACTCTCAGTACCTAAGAAAGATATAATGCCCTAGTTCCTACTACTTGTCCGGAACAACCAAAGATGAGCATTTTCCTATGAATGCCATGACTACTAGCTTAGTATTAGTTAGAAATGGGAAATTTAAAGGCCAGTAAAATGTCCAAAGAGTTTTTTAAGCACATACATTATAAATTAGTGTAAGAAACTGAGAGGCAGAGTATACATTTTAAGTTATAACTGATAATTAGATTCTAGTCTTAGTGTAATAAGAGTACATACAAGTGTGCAGAGAAGTGTAAAAGGCAGCAAGAATAAAATATAGTTCTTTCTTACCCAGAGAATTAGGTCCTTGAAACATATGTTGCTTGGTTCCCATACTACCATTTGTGGATATGGAATTATTGTAGAAGTCAGAACCAGTTAGATCACCAAGAATAGCATCTAGATTATCTAAGTCTCCAGATCTCTGAAAATAAAAATTTTTTAATTCACCTGTGTAGTTATACTAGATACAAAGGTATAAACATATTGATCAGAAGAAAATAGATGACATAGGAACACCTAAAATACAATAGTTATCTGAAATGATAATGTCCAACTTAAAGGCTGGTTCATTATGACCCCTACCCCTAATCCTCTTTCTTAAAAGTAAGAACAGTTTAAACTACTGAGATAAATCCCTGGGTTTGGAGGTGCTTTTAAAGGGGCACTTTTAAACTTTACACTTCAAGGTTAATTTTCAAACTACAAGATATTTGCCAGCTAATATTAGTCAGGTTCACTTGCTCACAGAGACATCTGCCTCTACACATACCTGATGACAACAGTCTGATTAACAATAAAAACAACAAGCTGACGTTCAACAGATATTCATAGACAAGCTTTAAAAAGGGCTTTTGGTTAGTAAATTTGGAGAACACTAAGTTAAAATTAAACAGACATCCTAACAGAGTTCTCCAAGACTACTATTCTCTCCTGTTTCTTTCCACCACACCCTTAATGATGCAATCCACTCATTTCAATAATAAACACCTCCATGAAAAATTATTGGCTATTAACCAGTTATAGTCACATTTTAGAACATACACATCTGATAGTTCTAAACTGCATCATAATATACTTTACTGCAGCCCCAAAGATTAATTTCCATTAAATAAACAGAAGATATGAACATGTGTATAATATGTTCTTTCTAACACAGAAATGCAATGGTGAAGTCCAAAGAAACAAATTACCTCTTCATTGGTTTCTGTCTTAATTTTAGAGTCTTTCTCTTGACTGGAGCTGGGAACGTTGGAGCTGCTGCACTGACTCACTTTACTGTCCACGCCCTCCACTTTGGGCTGCAATTCTTTAGAGAGGGCATCACTAGGATCATCCCTGTCCAGCAGATACCTAAGAAGTGCATTGTTTTCCTTCTTCTTAGGGCTCAGTTGCTCCTGCTTGACATTTCCCTCTGCACAAGATGAAGTACTACTGGTGTCCTTCCCTGTGGCCTCTGCGGTAATCTTGGCTACTTCAGCTGGGGAGTTGCCATTCTGTAGCAACTTGTGCAAAATCCGGTGCTTCTCTTGCAGCAGTGACCCATGCACATTAGACGTGGAGGACACTCCTCCAGATGTGGAAGAAGAGACACCGGAGGGACTGGTGACACTAATGGAAGAGTCTTTACAACTTGAATCCAGAGGGGAGTTGGTCAAGGAGGAATGACCCCGGTCATCAGAAGAACAGGTAAGTAACTGCAGTAATTTTTTATGACCTTTGCTTTCCAGGGGACCCCTTTGATTCTCTGACCCTTCAACACTGCTCTCCTTATTTTCTTTGTCACTGAGGTGATCCCTGCTATTTGACTGACACATTGAAGTCTCCACTGAATTCTGGTCACAATACAAGTCAAGGGGACTTTTGGAATCCTGATTGTTCACCTTACTTGGTTGAGTTATATTTATATTGGGAGAGTTATCCAATTTGGGGCCTGGTGAAGACAGAGTAGACAGAAGAGAAGTCCCCACACCCTCACTGATGGCTTGAAGGGCACTGAGTGAGCTGCTGGAGAAGCTGTGGCTCCCAGTATTGCCTGAGGAACCCATGGGAGAATGCACACCTGGATTTGGATAACAATTAGGGAAAAGAATTAAGACTCAGATGCTGTAACAAAACACCACTTAACTCTTCAAAGTTTCTGTTATCAAATGAATTAACTTAACAATCAAGAATTACAGTGGTAATGGAAGAAAAGAATTGCTGTGGGGGTAGGGGAAAGAGAAGAAAAGGAAATGCCAACAAATACCTGCAACAGGAGAAAACTGATGTGAGGCCATCTTTGGACTCCCACGATTACGAGGAGAAATCATGATATTCTGTTGGTTGGAACCAAGACCAGGACTTCCATGTGGAGGGCTATTCATGTTGAGACTATAGTTGTTGTTCTGGTAGGAAGACGGTGACTGCATGCCTGGTCCAGGGTTCACTGAAGCCATGTTACTGGAAGCCCCATACCTTGCTCCACTCAGCCCTGTGGTGCTGGGGTCAGCCAAGCCATAAGTTCTGCCACTCAGCATCTGTAAACCTTGGCTTGGCGACATGCTCATTCCACCTACCGAACTGTTGCATCCAGTTGCTGGAGGTCTAATGCCTTGTCCAACAGGATTCGTGTTTGGTCTATACCCATTCTGTTCCCTGCAAATAAAGGAGGAGAACAAAATTGTTACTGAAATATTATAGGCATGCATTAAAGCCCTGAATCAGACATTTTTTTAAAAGGATGAAATAAGTGCCTGGGAACTTGATTTCCTAGGTGCCATTCCAATACCTGATGACAATTCCAATCTAAATACTGATCAATTATTGACCTAGTAACATATTTTATAGTAAGCAACAGAATCTAGATGACTTCTCCACAGTATTGTAGAGGGTCAAAAAGCTATGTTAACTGGAAGCTCAGCAGGGCTTTACCAGAGTTGCCATATAGATGTCTACCTAGGGGTTAACCTAGAGGTGCCTGCAACCTACTGAACATAATTAATGGATGAATATTTTGCTCCTTCATATGTTGCTTAATTGCCTTTAGCAACAGCAATAGTGATTATACTTTAAACATCTACCTTCAAATTTTAAATTCAGTCCCTAAAAACAAGGTTAATATATTATTAGAAATGAAAGGTAACAGAGGTAGTCAGATTTTATCAGCTCTTTTATCCATTAACCTTCCCATTTCCCAGATTTCCCAGGAAATAATTTTTTAGTGAACAAATCCTCATTTTCACATAAAAATATATAACCCTGAAGAAAACATATCATAATCCAGGAATTTAAACTTACTTCAGAAAACCCAACAACCTTCCTTTTTCTGTTGTGAAATTTTCTCCCTTTTTTACATTAATAATAAAGCATCTTGAGAACACTGCTATAGTCAGTGTGACACAGTCATCTATCACTACCTCTGAAGAAAGTGGGTTGAGACAAAGCCATGACGATCATTCGTTACAGGATTTCGGAAGAGTTTGCTTTTTGTCTGTGCAGTCACGAGAGTTCCATCAGCCAAGGAGAATCGATACAGTGGGGTTTCTGCATGGCCATGGATATAAGCTATTGGGGAAAATATCCCATTATTAGTAACTACAAATGGCAAAACATACACATACATATAAGAGAGGAGAGAGAGGAAGTATATTTTTAGTGTAATATTTTCAAAATCCAGTGAAAGACTGAACCTACACCAAAATTATGAACAGGCTAAAATAAGAATGCTGAAGAATCATTCTCATACCCCATAGTTGTGCACAAAACAACTATGGTCAGGTATATATACTCAGTGCTTTATAGCATACCAAACACAATGACAAACAAGATCAAGGTCAACCTCAAAATTCTTTACCTTCTTGATAGTGACGTTTCTGGGACCATGACTGTCCATCATTAAGACTAAAAAATCTCTGGATACATCTTCGGATTATATCTTCAAAGCCAGGCCTCATGGAGGATCTCAGTGAATTTGTATCAATATTAACAACTTTTCCTATTAAAGAATATAAAGGTTTAAATCCAACCCACATGTATTTATGAGCTGCATACTCTATGGCCTAGCACTAAAAATTTTTTTAAAGACACTAAATCTTTACCTTTTCTGATTCAAATTTCTGTTCTATGTATAGCTTTTCTGTTTAAGGATACAGTCCTGCAGGATACTCTTACATTAAATGTTCTGCTATAAAGACTACCAGAGTACATCACACAATTCCTTTTACTTTCTGAATGCACAGAATGTAACATGTCCACATAACTTCATGTTCATTTTCATTTAAAGGGAAAAAACAACACCTACCAATAAAATTGTTCAAATGAAGTATACTGTCCCTGCAACTGTGAAATAAGAGAAAGCACCTGCGTAAGCAAGGGTGGGGAGAATTCTTTCCACCTAAGAGGCAACTGCATTTTTGGACACTTAAAATCTGAAACTAGGAGGGTTAATCAAACTCATTTCCACAGTCCAGAAATTTCTAACAACTTTTGCTTAACATCAAATACACTAGCTTGAGAGACAAAATATATACAATTTGAAAATGTTATGAAATGAAGGTTTCATGACAATGGTCCTTTTAAAAACTGGCTAAGCCTTTTCACTTTCTGAGTAGTACCAGGGCAGCTGGCAAGAATCAACACCTTACAAAAAGTGGCAAAAGGGGAGATAAGGGGAAAACAGTTGACACATTTACAAAGAAAGACTGGTATGACAAGAAAACACCAGCTGTGTTCAATGTAAGAAACACTGGGCAAACAGTCACAAGGACTCAAGGACCAAAACTGCCTATGATGGCCTCAAGAGTTGTGTTTTAAAGCAAGCCTTGCTGACACTTATGCAGAATGCTTAAGTTGCATTTAGAAAATTCAAAATAATACTGATTATGCCCAGGACCAAAGCTGCAATCAACATCTATCACACAGATATCCATGACAAAATATGCTCCACGGTCAAAAAATGTCAGACTATGACTGAAGCTCATGTTGTTGTCAAGACTACCAACAGTTATTTTTTTATTATCTATTCTGCAGAGGGCATCCAGACAACCTCTGATGCTCAGCAGCAACAGGTCTGCCAAATCTGGAAGATGACAAATGATCTGAAAGAAATGGGCTATACCTTGACTCCAGACAGACTGGGAAAGATAAAGAAAAGATTTATCAATCAACTTATCCTCTCCACAATGTGTTTGACAGAAAAGTAAAAATGCTGAAGAATATCAAGTTTGGACTGGGTAAACTCATGGAGTTTCAAGATGAAAGATAGTTCTGGAAAAGCTACTGAAGATGAGAAAGGCACTAATGTTGGATAAGCTTGATGGAAAGAGCCACCAGCCCAGGAATCTGTTTAAAATTCAGATCTTTAATGACAAAAAATCTTGTTAGTGGGGGGAAAAAATGACTAGGAAAAAGGTAGATAATTCCTGGAAAGAGTGAACACTGTGTACTGTGCCCAGAATAAGGATGATCTGTCCTCAACCACCTCCCCTGAGCTTAGCTCTGAAATGACATGACAAATGCAAACTAGATGCTCAGATAAAGTTTATTAAATGAAACACATCATGGAAAAGGGTAAAAAGCCCTCCAGATGCCAAAGAAATGAATGTGCAAAAAATCTCCTATGAAAGAACAGGTCGCAATTGGAAGGTACCAACTGTAACTATGGTAAGATGACCTACAGATGTTAGCTAAATGAGTACTTGACTTTTCTTGGTAATTTCTAACTTTTATAATAAATACATATGACTTTTATAGTAAGGGAAAATATTGATGAGATGATTCTTAAAAATTATACTCACTGATTTGTTTAAGTAAAGACGTTTTATTTAGTATTTTCATTTACAAAATGTAAAGTATTATTATTTAGGGAGAAAATTTATACTGCCAAATAGTAACAGATGCAGAGAAAGAACTACTCTACAAGGAGAGTAAATACAACACATAAAAATTCCTGTCACCACATCTGATTTTCTCAATCAAGGGAGTAAAGAGAAAACTTACTAATACAAAGTAGTGTTTTTGCTACTTTTTTTTTATCTGCAAAAATTTATCTCAAGCAGCCTCAAGACAAGTAACTGAGCCTGGCATAAAATGGCTGAGTGAAAAGAGCCATGTTTTACAGTAAAATATTACTATGCATGTATGTGTATATAATATACATAAAAACACGTGTGTATATACTCACATACTATAGCTGTATTACATGTTTATCTAAAGCTACTCCATTTTATCAAATTACTTATTGAAGGTCCACATGGTAGACATAAAGCAAACAGAATAGGCTTTCATGTCAGGCAGATGCAGATATAAATTCTATTTCGTATAGCCATGACCTTGGACAAGCAACCCAACCTCTCTGACACCAGACCTCTGTTTTCTCATTTCTGGATATGACAAACCCCTGACATCACCATTCACGGTTAGATGATCACAAGAGTGACCCTGAAGTTGAACACAGAAAATACTGTCATGTTTAATTTTATCACTGTGCCTTATCACTTACACTGGCTTTAATTCTTTATCCCATGGTCAAAAAAGGAGGATAGGTGTTGATGTCAAGAATTACTCCCAGGAATTCTCATTAAATTACCTGTATTTTGAAAACTTGTTTCTTTGTGAAAAATGGGTTTGAAGTTAAGGAGTTAACTTCTGATTTGAAATGTTATTTGGAGAGAAAACCAGGTGCCCCTACATTTATTTTTTAATTGTTTATGTGAGGAGATTTTAACAGTCAAATATACCCAATTCAAAATGCCAAGAGTTTTAGTGCATCTCTATTAGAGCTGCATAAGGAACATGGGAAACAGTCCATGCAAAACATCCATTACAGTGGGTGTAAGCACTTAAATGACAGTGTGGGCTAAAGAAATAGTTAATTTTGTAAAATTTTCAAAATGAACAAAATGTGTATGTGAACATACACATTCACGAAGTTTTTACCTGAAAGATCATGTCTAGTAATAAAGCTCTCAGGGTTTGATGCAAATGTTCTTTCTCCTGAAGTAATGCGGCGGGCCACACAGATCATACAGGACTGCAAATCTACAAGAAAAAATTTAACCAGATAAGGATTATATTTAAACTTTGGATATGTCTGTTCAATAGGCGAGTGAAGACATGGAATTCAGTACAAGAATTACAATAAAAATTATAAAACCACAAGTGTGTCTGCCATTTGACTGATATACATCACAAACGTGATTGCTCCTACCTTCCCCTTCCTCCATCATAGCTCGTGGCTGAGACAGGGCAAAGCACTGCATTGTTTCATATCTCTGGAGCATTTCAGGACTGGTGTTAATGTCTTCCAGAATGTCATGTGGTGTTTTCATCAACATACGGCAATTAAATGTATGGCTTTTTTGTCTCTGGGTCTCATTTGTCCATGCAACTCCATTAACTTTGGAAAACAAATTCAAAGGAGTTTTTAAAAAGCTGGCAAATCAGTCCATAACCATCAAGAATTTAAGCTGTATTTTCTCATTACATATGTTTTCCATAGTAATTTCTGCACTAACATTTCAAAGTGGCAATCATTGGAATTTCAACAAAAATCTCACTATATATTTCATAACTCACTGTATATTTTGGTCCTATGAAATGTATGCCAAATTCTATATTCACCAAAGTCATATTTGAAAATTTTGCTATTAACTGTGTGCCTCTCTATACAAGTTTGATCACTTGGCTTCCAAAGTACACTCAATTTTCTAAGAAATGGTCAAGAAAAAAAATTTTTTGACTTATTTAGAAAATACAAACTAAAGACCTACCTGTAGATTTTGGTAAGTTTTTGAGAAAATCTTTTCTGTCTTCTTCATGCAAGATACTATAAACACTTGTGTTAACCAGGTCTTCTTGTTTATACTGCAGGTATTGTGTGACATTTTCTGACACAAATACAATGTTTCCATCACGATTCACCACAAACAGGAAACCATCCAATGCCTAAAGTAAAATATGTTAATATTATTGCCAATTATGGAGCGAACTATATTCCCACCAAAATTCATTATGTTGAGGCCCTAATTCACAATGTGACTGTATTTGGAGATAGGGCCTTCCAGGAGGTAATTAGAGTTAAATGAGGTCATAAGGGTAGGGCTCTAATCCAGCAGGACTGGTGGTATTATAAGAAGAGAGAGAGACACACCAGGGATGAACATACACAGAGAAAAGGCCATGTGAAGACACAGAAGGCAACCATAACAAGCCAAAGAGAGACGTATTAGGGAAACCAAGCCTGCCAATACCTTAATCTTGGCCTTCCAGTCTCCAGAACAGTAAGAAATAAACTTCTCTGGTTTTAAGCCAAACAGTTTGTAATATTTTGTTATGGCAGCCTTAGCAGACTAAGACACCAGCTTTAGTACTAAGTAGAATTTAAAATGCCCATTGCTGATTTAAGAATTACTGCAACCATCAGCTACCATTTCTATTAACATTAGCACCATTACTATAGGGTTTTATGGGAAATAAAAAGACAATTTGAAAAAAATGTATATGGTTGACATGAAATCTGAATTAATGTCTAATTTTTGAAAAATTACATCTTGAAAGCAGATTTTAAAAATAAGGAAATCAGCCTTAGGACTTCCCATTTTTCCGTTTGAAACCAAGTAAAGCTACTGGAACTATACCACTCCTTAATGAAACTTTACAAAGAACTGAAATGATCAGCTAAGATGTATTGGAGCAAACTAGCTCAAACAAAAAAGATGTTGACAAGTAAATTTTATGAAGAGCTTCAGGCCCTGCTGTAGAGAGACATTCTATAAGTGCTATAGGTTAGTCTACTTAAAACAACTACTCTTAGAAAACAATGTGCATTTTTCATTCTTAAAAACTCCTCAAGAATATAAAACTACAGTGTATCATATAATAAATCATGCTAAAAATGCACAAAAAAGTCTGAGCTAAAATATACCTAAATATTAGTTTTACAAAATTATGGGTCACCTTTCTTCTCCAGCTTCTTTGTATTTTTTCTTTTCTTTCTCAGGTTTGCAACCATTTTTATTGGGGTTGGGGGGAGATGCCACAGGGCCTCCTGAGTTATGTATATTGTAAACATAAGAGCATTTTACCATCATACTGACAATACTGAGTTCTGTCTCATAAAAAAATTTTTCTACTACTTCCTAATCAAAATTTCATCAACTTTTTTTTTTTGAATCAACACAGCTTACTGGATAACTAAAACCTTGTACTTGCCTGAAGTAAAAGTGGTCCTAAGGAGTCTTTATCAATAACCCCCTGTCCTGTAGAAGATACATCAGCTTTCTGAACATCATCATCATTGGAAATAGCTTTTCCTGAAAAGACAGAAGGCAGTACTACAAATAATACATATATCAGTTATAGATCACATCCACCTTTGAACAGTCCCTAGAATAGACACAAAGAGACACATACAAACACACACATGCATGCAATTGCACATACACAATAGTTCTGGTAAGAAAATGATTTTTCATTTTTCATTATGCTACAATTTTTCAATGTTAAAATTAAACTTCAGGGTTACCCAGGAGTGCAGATGATACCCTAAGTTTTCTTTCACTACTAAAGGTACTAGCCCAGGGCTTTCTGAAAGGGAACTAACATGTCACAGGGTGAGCTACACTGGCCTTCTTCCAATTCTCTGCTAACTTTTCCTAAAAAACAAAGGTAGTCAACTCATCTCTGTCCATTCCCACATAGGTTAGCCCCAATTAATAGTCCCCACCTAAGCAACAAGGTAGCAAATAGGCAAATGTAAACACAGTTAACAAGTTCCTTCTAAAAGATGTTTTTCTTACTTTGTATTACCTTGCTCTTTTATTTGTCGGATCTGTCTTACTGTTTCCTTTAGAATTGCACATTTATCTGGCTTGACATTGAAATTGTCAATATCACTAAGATTAGCAGATATCAGTTCAGCCAATTCTTCAATATATTTACTCTCTTGCTCCCGTCTCCACTTTTCACCACTGCAGGTAAGACTGAGGGGGGAAAAAAAGGCATGACTATGCCTATCAAAACAGCCGTGAGCAGAATCAGTCCCTACATAACACCATTACCTACATGTCTAAATACACTAAATTTAGCCAGTAGAAACTATCAAAACACTGTCTTGAGAAAGTAGATAATGTACAATGCGTGCAAACCTGAATTCAAATTCCACTTTTTTGTTTGCCCAGTGGCCTTGGACAGAGCTGGCCTCAGTTTCATCATCTAGAAAACGGGGATAGTCTTTACCTCATACTGACAGTAAAACAACTAACAAAATAGTCGTAGCTACTTATTGATGATGAAGTCTTATGAATTGTAGGCTTTTATTCTACAACTATCATGTTAAAATTCAAGTCATATTGACCTTGACAGACGCTTTTTAAAAAGCCAGAGTATCACTGAATAAAATAGTTATTTTCTTTCTATTTCTTAACTCATAACTTCATTCAGGAAAAGAATAATGCCTCACACGTTGACAAAATATCAACTTACAACACGTTCTTAAAGGATAATAAAGACTCTTACTTGTACTAATCTTGGTTATCTATTCCTAACTCTTACCTTTTCCACTGATAAATGCTTCTTACCAGTATCATGGACTGTTAGTATGATAGTCTCAATTCTATCTGAATCATTGACAAAGCTACTCTTACATCATACGGATGTCCATCTCATCACTGTACCACCCTACTTACTACAAAGCAAAATCATACTATTAAGCAAAGAGAAAAAGAAAATTCTAACCAGAAAATGTAAATAACTGAAAAATGAACAGTTCTCCTTAAACCAAAAATATAAAGGCAGGGGAAGAGACCTTGGTGAAGCAACAGGAAATAAATTGCCTACCCTTGTCCTGGGGTATCACATGGCAATTTGCGTTTTCGTGAATCTGGGGCCAGTGGATCCAAGGAGTTGTCTCCTAATCCGTTCATCATGACTACACATCAGCAACTAAGAAAGAATAATTAAATAAAAACATTCTAAAATACCTGCAACTTTATAAAGGTGTTATAAGCTTGAATGACTGCACCCTTAATTAAGAACCATTTTCCCTAAATGGTTAACTAATTCTTAATATTATCATAAATGAATATTCTGAAGACAACCTCAAGAGTTCATATTCCACTTTAATTACGCAGGATGTCCAACCCCAAGACAAACATTTCTCAAGTCCTACTAAGAATGTGTATATTAAATACCTCACAAATAGGGCATCTTCTTCATATTTAATAACAAGGTAGATCTTCAACTCTCCAATTGATACAATTCTCCAACTGATATAAATTTTATTTATACCCAAGTAAGCCCAAATAAGAGCTTATCTTATCATTGGTAAGGAGTCTTCAAATGACAAAAGTCTAAATTGTTTTCAGGTTATTTCAAAATAGCACATTTTTTTCCTTTAGACCATTTCATCAATATTTAACACCCAATATTTTTCTTGTTACTTTAAAATAAACCTAGATTGTATAAATAATGTAACCCTCACTACATGCTGCTTAGGGTGTAAATGTACAACAATAAAACTGCAGGGAAAAGGCAGGGCTTTTGCCAAGATCCACATAGCAACAATTATTTTAATATTGACTGATGGAAACATAATATGCTTTGGTTAAAGTGTCACTGATGAAGACAATAAATGTATGGTTTTTCTTGTTGGAAAAAAAGGAGCAAATTTTAACACTCCGTAGTTCCTAATTTTAAGACATCGACTAAGCCTTCACCTGCTAAGAATTTTATCTCTCCTGAACTCATGTTTAGGAAGACGATCATTTTCTAAACAATTTCAGGTCAACGGAGAAGTTCAAACATTCCAATCTATTTTTTCTTAATACACTAAAATGCGTATTGTATTCCACCTAGATTCTACGAATATACTAAAGGACAAAAATGTCCACTAGGTGGCTCAATACTACCAGGAAGGGAGACACATAAAAATCCAAAATTGTACAGAGAATACTTATTAAACCCTTAAAACACATATAGCTTTAAAAAAATCAAATCACATGATCATTAGGACTTCTAGAATATGACATTGTCATTACAGATAATCTAAGGTGTTAATTAAAAATCAACAAAATTCATTCTACCTATAATGTTGGCAATAAAATGTTAAGGCTGAAAAGCTTGATTTTTCCTCACAACCCAAGTTAAAACAAAGGAAAAAGAAGAACTTAAAATAACTTTGATAGTGACTCAATATTATGACTTTAAAGCATGCTCAGATCCCTTAATGCCAGAATACCACATTCTTCAAAAATCACAATGTCATAAAAGACCAAGTCTGTAAATATTCTAGATTAAAGGATGTTGAAGAGAAATAACAATTAAATACAATATTCAATCCTATACTGAATTCTGTACTACAGGGGGGAAGTGCTATAAGGGACATTATTGGATCAATTGACAAAATTAGAATTTAATGAAGTTGATTGCTGCTAAGAGATTATCCCTATTCTTAGTATTTAGGGCAAAAGGGCCATTACCTATGCAGATGACCGTCAGATGGTTCTGAAGAGAAAATTATATACATTATAAGTGAGACAGTGAGAAGGGAACAGAAGTCAGAGAAAGGGAAGAAGAGAAGAGAAGATAAAGAAAGGCAAAATGTTGCCACTGGATGAATTTTGGTGGGGGAGAGATTTTTTTTAAAAATTTTGTACTATTATTTTTCCTCTGAGTTTGCTTTAAGTTTAAAATTACTTCCAAATAAAGTTTGAAAAGTATGTTCAGTATTGATTTCCGATCTTCATATTTAAAAACAGTGATTCCTTAAGTAAAAGTAGAATAATCCTAATTACATCTCAATACAATTGGTTTTATATTTGTTTCATTTGCAGGTTATTTTTAAATTGAGTGGCAAACTATCCAGTCAGTAACATTTCTTTATTTTAAAAATATATTTATTCCACATTCTAGGTATTATTTCCTTATTTTGACGGTCAACATAAGCTGAATCTCCCAAACTGGGTAGCAAAACCATCAGTTACTAATAGCATTAACTTGAAAGGCATAATTTATTCTCTCTCTCAGTATTTATTTCCTTACTTTGCTGTTAAGTGTAAATTCAATCTCCAGTCCAGTTTAAGCTGCCTAACATATAACAGGTGGTCAATAAGTATGTCCTGAATAAACTTATTAAATTGTATTTTAGAATTCTCTTCATTCTTATATAAAAGCTCAAAGTTTACTTTAAACTTTTACTTCTATGGTTCATATAGGATGTCACCAAAATGAATTTTAGAGGCATAATTTATAATAATATAGAACCAAAACCATGACATTTTCTTAGTGTGGAAATTAATAATCACAATTATCAGTCTAAACCAGAAATACACACATCATTTATATTAAGTATATGTTTATGTATCTTTAGAAAAAACTAAATATGTCTGTGTGCATATACACATGTGGCTCTTTTTCCTGATCAACAGAACAAGCTCTAGTGTGCATGACTGTATAGTCTACATGCTACTGAATTCACTATTTTACAGAGTCTACTGATCTCTAGTAAGAGAGGTAATTAATCAGACATGTGCTAATGCAAAATCCTAATTTCCTAATTTAAACCATGGTAATGATGTTTACCTAAACATTAAGGCATAATTATTTAACATAACATTTTTTATATTTCAATTTTTTAAGATAGGTTTGATAGATTTCTAGTTCTCACTTAGGTAGGGCCAAACCTTGGTACTGAATTTACTGTACAATATACCTAAAAAGCCACATGATGTGCAAGAGTGGATGATGCTGTACAACTACCAAAAAAAAAAAAAAGTATAGCAAATATATATCCTGTTAAATTTCATTAGGCTAAAGAAAACGGTCAACATGAGAAATTTTAAAAATAAGTATTTCTGCCTCAAAAAAGTTTCAGCATATACAATATAATAATTTTTTTAGCACAAATGACTATGAAAAACACTTATGTACAGTTTTCTATATATTTGGTATTAATCTTAGTTATGAACATAAAAAATGGTAAACAACATGTATTTTATTTGCTAGGCCTGTTGTGCACTTATTACTCTGACAGAGATGGACTCAAAAACTATAAACACATGGGGGATATATTATCTAATCTGACAAATGATTCTTTGTAAGGTATAAGGTAGATGCCTAGTACATATACACTAAACCCAGACTATTTTCAATCAGTAGTCAAGAACCAGAGTGGGAAGAGAGAATGGAACATGTACCAGGCCCATGAGTACATCATTTTTCCCCCAGAAGTTCTAAAGGTTAAGAAACACATATTGATAACTATACAGCTTATATTTTTGTGTCTTGTATTACAATCCATCTAGGTTGAAGGATATATAGAGCTGATAAAATTCACATTTAAAGGGGAAATAACATAACACAAGAATCTGTATCTTTGATTATAATAAGTCTATTAATATTAAGCCCATTGCAAATTCTAACTCCCTCCAATTTAAGATCATCATCTACACAGCTGAGTAGAGAAGAAATTAGGAACACAGTAATGTGTGATCTTGAAATCATGTCATAAAGCCAGTAGTGGGGTACACAGATAATATTTTGAAGTTGCTAATAAAAAGATGTCCCCCAACTGATTGTTAAACTAGGGATACACTTCAACTGCACTTCCAGGTAGAATATAAGCCAGTCACTATTTTCAAGCCCCTGATACCACACACAGTACGGAAAAGGATAAGAGTAAGAGAACTTTTCCTAGAATCAGAATCCAAAGGCCCAATCTTTCAAAGTGGACCCAACGGTCTAGATACCTGAGCCATTTTTACAATTATTTCCCATCTGAAATGTTTCTACTTAGGAGTTCTGCGCTATACTATGTAAGTATGACAATACACACTTTACTATGTTTAATCAAGAGTTCTATGCAATTGCTTCAAATACAGAATAGCAGCTATTTGAAACAACTTTGCTATCAAAATCTAACAGTACCTATTTCTATTATTACTTTGAAAAATCAGAAGTAGATCTATGGTAAATCAATTTAAAATGAGCAAGAATCTTATCAATTGGACAGAATTTCTCACATAAATTCTATAGTCCCTTCTATACATAACAATAGAACTATGACACATGTTTAAGCTTAGGCATATGTAGACTACAATAAATTGCTAGAAAATGACTATTCCTAAACTAATTCAGGCTAAAAAGCAGCAAAGAATTATATTTGCCAGCTCAAAAACCATGAAAATGTTGGTATTTGGTTTAGCAGCATGAACTAGCTTTCCTTTTTGTTTATGCAGTTAAGATAGGAAGAGAAACCTTGATTACATATAACAAATTAGCCAGATGAACAAGGATACAGGAAGTACTCCCTGTCCAGAGGAAGAAACACCAATCATAATGTTAGTGCCCATTAGGGGAGCAAGAAGTTATTTGGAAGTTCCTAAGAAAAGCCATGCCATGCCAAAATGGAGAGAAGACAAGCTATCCAGTACATCTTATTAGGCATAAAGACCAATTAAAATATTTTATGTTTCCTAAACTAATAAAGGGAGAAGGAAGAAGATGACTTTTGTGCTGGGCATAACTGCATATTCTGTGTAATCTCCTTCAATGACTCTCCAGGTATGTACTATTATTTCCATTTTACGGATAAGGAAATAGTTAAGTAACTTCCCACTAGATTGCACAAATATCCTGGATGGCAGAACTTGGGCCTACAATATTTTCAGACTTTATAACCAACAAAATGTATCAAATGTTTCCTGAGCATTACATCCTCCCAAAAAAAATAAACAAATAGACCATTTTTACTGTTGAATCACACTCATCACCCACCAGTTTGTCAGAATATTTCTCAGCTATCAATAAGAACATTGAGAGGTTGTTACCTCCAATGTTTAGAAGAATGTAGTATTAAAGGCAGAGGCAAGAAGTTACCATCAGCAAGGTCTAATGCTATCCCCCCTCAAGCCCCTAAAACTACCCATTACTCCACAACTCACTAG